GAGGAGTTTCTGCAAAGCATCCACAGCAAATTGAAAGTTTAGAATGTGCTTGCCCAAGTGATGGAATTGACAGCCCAGCATGGGAGAAATTCATTGCAGCATGCAGTTTGAAGGAGGTGATGGTGCTTTCCAGTGAGTTAATATCATGGTTACATAATTTAGGCAGGAGTACGTCCAAGAAATCTTTTTCTCGTTTTTTTGATTTTTTTTGGTGATGTGAACACACAAGCCCTTTTAGGCAAAGGCTGTGCAGTAGTAGTGAAAGTTTAGGAGGGATCTAAATGAGGCAAAGGTAGAAGGGAGTGTGTTACCATGCTGTATGTGATAAACTGGCAAAAGGTAGTGTGTTTAAATGTAATGTAGCATATGATTGTCCTAGTGCTTGCAGGCTTTAGTTAAATCAGATTTTATTTTGTGTGTACATGTTGAACTGTATGCTTGCTCTGGGTAGTCTCTGAATGCACTCTGGTATGTTTTTTTGTTGCTCAAGCCAAGCTATTTTTCATTAGTGCATTGTTATTACTGGTGGACTCAGCAAAACAAGGGAGAGGAGCATTCCTCTATGCTTGCTCTTGTTCTTCTTAAAGCAAATGGCATAACCTCTGCTTGAGCAGCCACAGATGGTGCCTCTCCACAATCTAATTCTACAAATAGCTATGCCTGGTGAAGACTTCACTCTGTCTGCATCCCTGAAAATGAAATAATATATTTGGGTGCTGCATAAACCAAGAAAGTTCTTTAGTCCTAGCCTGACGTGTTTTACTTGCAGCTGTTTAGAAGGTTTGCAGGTTTTCCTCTGCCAAAGAGCTATGAGAGTCTTAATCTTCAGCTGGCAGGCAGCTGGAGAGTGGTGACATCTTTAGTTGGAATAGCTAAATCTGGTAGGGGACTTCTGTTAAAATCTTAGCCATTTTCACATTCCTGAAAAATAGCAAGATATATAGGAACTAAAGAAGGAGCAAAGTTTACAAGAGTATTAACCAAGCAGTGTAACTTCTCCTGCTGATGGCAGAGACTTGACATGGCAACATGGTATGCACCATCCTGGAGGGTACATGAAAGAACTAGATGCAAACTTTGACTTCAGTGTGTGCAAAAAAAAAGTCCAGCTATGGATACTGGTAGCACAGAAAAAGAATAGTTGTATTATGTGTACCAAGCATCCAGAAGAGAGTTGCTACTCAACCTTTTTCGTTCTTTTATCTTTTAGGTCTTATTTTGTTATTTTCACAGGCTCAGAGAAGCGTTTTTTTGATGTCAATTTCTTTTATGTAAAAAAAATTTATCATTTTATAGTATCTTTTTTGGTCTTTAAGTAGTCCCTGTTTGAAACGTGTACAATTCACATCTCACTAAAGCAAGAGAGCACTAATGCAGCTATTTAGAAATGTTGGGTTTGTGAGGCTCTTTCAAAGTAGAGTGACTCTGATGAAGAAATATTTTGTTGTGTATTACAATTATTCTTCATAGTTTGTGGCTAGCCTTGGAAACTGCAGAGCTGACTTTCACTTTATCTTTTAATACTTTTAATCCTACCTGTATTTCCTGATCTAAAAGCAGCAGTGATTCTGGGTTCTAAACTTATAGCACATAAATCAGATGTGCATCAAAGCACCTTGAGGCTCACAGGAGAAGGGATAAAGATTATCTGTGTGGTTTAACGTGTGGGTTCATGGAATTGGAAGACTCCATGGATTGGATCAGTATTTTCAAGCTTCAACTTTTTTTGCTTTGTCCCTATCTAAAAAAGGTATCTGTGAATATTTGGGTTTCTTTGTCATTAAAACGAAAGTATATTTTGCCTTCCTCTATAATAGCTTGTATGCACCTGGGTGAATTCTGCCCAGATTTATATGTGCAATGCTTAAACTGTGTTTGAAAAAAATTAAGTTCTGAGATTTTACCTCTGCCATAGATTTGAGAATCTGAGACTGAAATACAGGCATATGGTGAAAACGGCCCTAGCAAGAAGCATTTAAAAAATACCTTCCCAAACAACAAGTAGAAAATACTGTAAAGGTGCACTTGCACTTTAAAATGTCTTGTACTTTTGTGCCTCAAAGAAAGAGCTGAGCCTTTATAGACTCTACAAGTCACTAACATTGTGGTGTTTTTTCCCCATTTTTTATTTCTAATGTATCTGAGGGTGCTTTTCAAACCTTCCAGCTTTCTTTCTGCATTGTTTTGAGTGGGCATTCAGTCTTATGGCCTCTGCTGCTGGATTCTTTCCCTGCCTCACCCTGAGTCTGGAGTCTGGAATTAAGTGTTGTTTGTGCACAAGGGTGCTGGCAGTGGGGGTAGGGATCTTGTGTTTGAAGTTTTATCTAAAGCAGATCTTCTCTGGATCGCTGGGTACCCCACTGGGGAACAGTTAAAGTCATACATCCTGCTGTCTAAAGGCAGAGAGGAATGATGGAGGAAAGCTGGCTCCATTGAAGGTTCATCCACACTAGCTAACTGTGGCATGCTGTCAAGTCCTCATTCCTTCATTCTCTATGCAGAAAGTGGAAGAATGGGGGCCTAGTGTATGCCCAGGTCTTGCTCTACTGTATGGATATGGGATGCCAATGATAAGCGCTGGATATGGACCTAAGAACTGAATAGAACTTTCCAGCTACCTGCTTGAGATACGGCCAAAGAGCCCTTGGGATTTAGACAACATCGTGGGCTTTCCCACAGTGGCATCAGTTTGGCCTATAACAATGTAACGGGGCAGGGATGATCCTGTTCTGTAAAACACAAAGCTTGACAAAGTGATATTTGAAGAACTTTAGATGTAACAGAAAAGAACAGCCTGAAAGTGGTAACACTTTCAGGATCTACGTGACTACCCTTTGTTAAAGCTGAGTTTTTCAAAAGATTTGGATTTAGGTGCCCATGTTTTGGGACCTTGTTCTGCTATGTCTCAGCCTGATTATTCTGTGTACTGAGCGTCTAAAATTCCTTCCGATGGCAATGGGAAATGTAAAATGTTTTACAACTCTCAGTATTAAAGACCAAAATATCTTGTATTAGTCAGCCCAAATGAGAGGACAGAAATAAGTATTTTCTTTGTCAGGTAATTTTTGATCTGAGATCTGATTGAGCCAGGTGAAGGACCAGAATCCAGCAGACAACTGAGGGTGTGTTTCCACACTGGAGCTCAAAGTGTCAGATACTTTTCTATTTTCCCCCTCTTTGTTTGTAGGTCTTCATCTGTAGATATCAAAGTGCTTTAAAGCACAGTGTTAAGTATTGTTATCTCATGTTTTTTTAAAGCTGGGGGATATGCAGACATAGTAAAGTGACAAGCCAGACTTCACAAAGGGCAGTAGCTCAACTGAGGAAAATAACTAAACATCATGAGTCTTTGCCCAGTGCTTCATCAGGCCCCTGTTCTGCAAAAAGGACATTTTTCGGAAAAACTCATTGACTGAATCCTAACAGCTTAGACACAAAATATGTTGCCATGAGGTGAATTAAGCATGCAGCAGGATTTGGCCCAAAAAGAGGAAATTACTTTTTCTTGCTACATAATCAATAGCTGCACTTGAACTGAGACCTTGGCTATGATGTGATGGGTCCTTGCCTTGCTTCGGGATAGCTGATTTTGTTGAACTTTCTTTACTCCAGCAACAGCAGCAGCTGCAATGTGGTGTAGACATGCCTAAACTAGCTTAAATAATTCAAGTACTGTTAGCCACTGAGCCAAAGAACCATGGAGTTCAGCATGGGCTTGGTGCCTAAGGATTTTATCCTCCTCTTTATAAGTTCACTGTTTCTTTACCATCTCAGCTCAAGCAAGCCTAGCAGTATGTTAAAAGGAAGGTTGGTAGATATGGTGCTCTGTCTGCACTAATAATTCTGCTAGCAGAGCTGGGCATGGTCCTAGGGTTGATTGTAGGAGATAGTGCCAAAGGTAGCAGTGTAGTAAAAGCTGTTTTGCCTCTCTCTGCCTACTGTTCTCCCTCTTCTTCCCCACCCTTCCCCTGGTATTCATCAGAAGCTGCCTTGCCTTTGAGTCCTTTTACTATGAAACTACCTAGTCATTAAGGTTCTACTGGAGATCATGAATATCTAGAAGCTGATGCAGGCTTGGAGAATGAGCTGCAGGCTGGAAATGTTATTGGGCTTGCTTGACTGGGGATCTAAAGAACCTGTAGGGATTAAATATGGGAAAATCCAAGACCATTACCCCTACATCTCTTAATGGGAACCACGGCAGAAGCATTTGTGATGTGTTCTCTCAAGTCATTGTCCAGATGGTGGGCTCCCAGCTCAGCTTCTGTCTGTAAAAGAGCTTTTCTGGTATCTGTAACTCGTCATTTTCTCCTGGCAGCCAAGGACAGAAGCAGGAATGAGGGTTCAGGTCCTTGAGTGCTAAGTTACTTCTGCTGAGTCAATAGGGGAGGTACCATCACTGCCCTGAGTTTTGTTTGCATCAAATAGTGCTTGTAGGCAGAGACCCTAAGTAGACTGACAAGCTGTTAAATTACCAACCTATCCCCTAGTTTATTCTGCAGCAGAAATACAAGCATGCCTGGATCAAGCCCTGGAACTCATCTCTGAACTCCTCTCTCCTTCTGTCAGAATTTCCAACTTGTTTTTACAATGGCATTTATTTTTGTTAAATTGCAAAAGAGTTGGATGCAGTCTGCTAGTTGTACTTTCCCTCTCCTTTATGCATTGAATTCTGTTCATACGCTTTACATGCCTCAAGTTGCTGTAATGCTGCTGGGAAAGTAATTGCCTTGCACTTTCTCTTTCTGATGCCCACGGGTGACTGTGGGGGACTCCTCCCTGGGCACAGTGCAGAGTTAAAAGCCCAGCTTTTGCTGCCTTGCTTAAGACCTGGTTATTTCTTTTCTTTTTTTTTTTTTTCTTTCTCTCTCTTTTTTTTTTTTTTTTTTTTTTTTTTGTCAGCTGCCTGTTATATCAATCACAGAGCTGGGATCTATTTATAGGTTGGGACTCAGAGTACTGTGTCCTAGTCACAAAGAGAGGCAGAGACGCAGAGGGGACTGTCGGCTGGTGCAGGCAGAACCAAAAGATATTTAATCAGCAATTAGAAACACCTGAGGGCAAGGGAAATTCTACTCCAGCCTCGAGCCTCATCTCTCAGCCCGCAGCATGTAAGTAGTGAACTTCTACCTTTTATTGCATTTATGGGCTTGTTTTTTGGTTTGAGGTGGGTTTTTTTTTGATCCAAATGTTGCTCTGCATCAACCCTTTTATCTGGTCTAAAAGTTATGGCAGCATCTTGATACAGTTAAAGGTAATATTTTTTTTTCTATTTTCACACTGTCAAAGGAAGGTCAGTGTGACCCACAAGGAGAGGAGTTGGTTCAGAACTTTGTAGAAATCAGGCGGTTTCACTATTTGAGTGTGGCTTTTTCCTCTGGAAATAAGCAAATGAAAGTTTGAGTGGAACAGTTTTGTTTTGGGAATAGAAACGGTCAGGTTTGCTGGCATTCCAAAAAGGTCAATGTATAACATAACTCTGCTTAAGGGCTTACCAAGGACAGGTGCTATTTATCCCAGGCTGGTAAAGGCAAACCTGGAAACTTCAGCAGTCCTGTCTTAAAAGAATCAAGTGACACCCTTTCCTCTGTTAGTAAAAAATCCACCCCCCAGCTTCATATCAAATCTTCTCTTATCAGGGAGATGAAATGAAATTTTGCTTTTACTGAAAGCATTTACCATTGAGCAGTTGATGTTTCTTTAATTTTAAAAGTCCCAAAGCAACTGAAGTCTCTTCAATGACAAAAGAGGGGTGCAAGTCTTTGCAAAGTCGGTACAGTGACAATCAAAGAAGGAACTTACTCTCTCATTGTCAGCGAGGTGTTTGCTTTAAAGCAGCCAAGATGCAAAATGTTTGAACAATGATATATTTTTAGAGTATTTTTGTTAACACAAATATGAAGAGAGGGAGAAAATAATTAGTCAGCAATTGTGTATTTTAATAGCTTTTAGTATAATATTTTTGTCAAAATAAAAGAGCTCTTTTCTTCTTTCATATTTTTGCCTCAGATGTTTGTGTTACATCTTTTACAAAATGTAAGGGGTTTATTTATTTTTAAATATAGAAAAATGACCTTGATTTCCTGTGTTACATCTACCCCAAAACCCATAAATATTACAATTTTTGATTTCGGTATGTTAAGTTTTTTGTATAAATTTCTAATTAAATATATGTTCTAAAAAATTTCTCCCCTGCCAATTTACCATTTTTGAAAGTAACAACAAATAAAATGAAGCTAAACTTATAATAATTTGGAGGAATGAGTGTCTAATAAAAATAGGATAAGAAAACCAGAGCTGTCTCACAGTTAAAATATCAAGTCCTGAGAAAAACACAATAGATGAATTGCTTGGACTGCCTGTAGAAAGGTGACAAATAGGCTTGTTCTTTATTCCTTTATTTTGCATTTCTTTGATGTACATTTTGTAATGCTCAAAGCATTTAGGTTAAGTTCTGTACTGACCACAAATTAATGCTTTCTAAGTTTTTAACCATTGATATGGATACTGTATCGTTCAGCTAGAATTCCTATATAAGGAAGGCAATGTGGATAAACAAGGTGAATTAACATACCCAATTAACATACCCAAATAATGCCCCAGAAGATCATTACAACACACCGCTTGCTATGAAGCTTCCCTCCCCCAGATAAAACAAAACTGTGAGACTGATCATTCTTATCACATGAAACTTTATTTTGATTATTAAGGCTTTTTATTTGACTTAAAAATGAATGTATTTTAATTAAGTCCCTTTTTTGTTTGTTTTGCTATAATATTAAATTTATTTTTCTCTGATAATGCGATGTTATTATGCAATAAAGGGAGAGCAGATTTTTCTGAGAGGCATTAAGGAATAAAATTGCTGACTTTGTAACTAACAAACAATCTATCATATAGCTAGTCTGAGACCCCCTAAAAATTGAAAACTAAGAGACATCACTGAAAAAATACAAATTGAATCAGTTTCTTCTCTACACACAAAGAAATATCAGCATGACTATGCTTGGGAACTACTGCAAAAAGGCTCCCTCACTTACCATACATTTTTGCAGAAATCTGATCATTCCCAAAGAAGTCCTCCAAGTATAAGGCTATAAAGGATTCAGTCTTAAGAATTTGTTTGGATGATTCAATAGTTGTGTCCACATAATTGCTGGACTTTATCCTTCCCTTTCAACTGCATGGGGGTCTTTTGCCCTGACATATCTTTTTTTACTACATTGGAAAAAAAAAATAACCAAGCACCAACTGTCCTGTGGCATGCCAATCAGTGGCTTACAGGACCACTTATTTAGAGGGAGGGAGTTACCTGTGGTTAGAAGTAAGACTGATGCATTATGTGGTAGAAAGTGTTTGTTATTTAGTTTCTGCTTCACTAATGATTCACATTTTGTGGACTAAACACCCTATCAACCTCCAAACTGTGTTACTGAACACATGCTGTTGCATGATTTTTTTTTTCATTCCTTAAAAAGACAAACATCTTTTGTTTCATCCTAGTTTATTTGTTTCTTTGACTGCAAAGTAATGATTGACGTGCAGGTTCCCTTTTCCACGCCTCTCCTTTCATTGCTGAGTATGACATCTCTTGGGAATTATAAATAAAACCTGTGCCAAATCTGTTGCACAGGTGTCTGGAGTACAGCATGCTCAGGTGTCTCACTGTAAATCCCTGAGAATATGAAGTAAACACCAGCAGGATAAAAATACTCTTCTTGAAACAATTCTGTGTTTTGAGGGGCCTTCTGAATAAACCCCCCAAAGCCAGGAGACAGTTATTAAAGACTATGTAGCTATCTCTCTCTCTTACCTTTTTTTATCACTTCACCTGTACATCTGTCCATCTATTTCTCATCTCTCTATTTTTACATTTCATTATGCTATGCTTGCTCTCCAGCTCTCTTCTTTTCCTTTCCTGAAGACACATTTCTATCTGGCACAGAAAATAAACTCAGATTGCGGGTAGTTATGTTAATCTAATTCAATCCTCTGTGGGTTAGGAGTGAAATTCTAATAGTGGAGCTGTTGAGGGCTTTTTTGTTAATGGCTTGGGGATTACATTGAGTTAAAGGCTCATTTCCTAATCAAACAGAGAGGGAGAGAGTGACTCCGAATATTTATGAGTCTCCCAGCGAGAGTTAAACATTGAACTCCAAAAGCGGGATTTCAGTGCTGCAGAAAGAGTTAAACCCCCTCAGGGCTGCTGTGGAGAGGGGAAAAAAAAAAAAAGGAAACCAGTTAAGCCATCAGCATTTTCAACTGCTGTATAACTTCAGTTTGAGAGAAAATAATCATCTCACAGAGCTAAAATGGAAACTGTAGCAAGATATTTAAAACAAAGTCAAGTGATGCTTCAAAAAGGCTCTTCTTCAGTGAAGCAGGATGCACGCAATGCATGCAGCAGCCTAATAGAAACTCCAAATAAATACTCTTCTAAATGAGAAGGATTGGAGGGTGGGCTCTCTTTTTATTAATAATGCCTGGAAGATACACGATTTAATTTTTTAATGCTTTTTATTTTTGGTTCTACTTAACTCTTGGTTAACCTTTTCTTTAAAAAAAAAGTTAAAAAAAGAAAAAAGAAGAAAGAAGTATAGAAAGGTCAAGATCTAAATTGTTTTACTTCTGTTCTGTAAACTGGTGTCCTTTGAGGTATTTTTTCTGTCCTTCAGTTTATCTGGAGTCTTGCATCAAATCATATAGTTGGAGAACTGGATTCTCTGTGACAAGAATGATTGACCAAATTAATGCTTGATTGCTTTTGTGATGAGTTTATCATACATGTGTGGACAGCTTAGGTAGACCATGCTGTTGCTGAAAAAGAGCAGACCTGCCTGCCTGCAACAATCTGAGGACTTTGGTGTTGCTAAGGCCTGGTGTGTTGTGAACTAGCCAGCTGTAGACTCTTTTGCCCTAAGCTGGGGCTCAGAAAATCTGTCTGTGGTAGGTGAACTGCACAAAATCAAGACTGTGCCATGATCCTGCCTCTCTTCTGAAGAGAGGTCCTGGAAAGGAATGGAGATAGAAAAGTGCTGTCTTCTGACACATGGCCAAGTCATATCTTTGTGTTCCTCAGTTTTCCTGTCTGTAAAATGATACATAACTGCCATCAAAATAACTCCAAGATCTACAGAAAGCAACCTTATATAAATCCCAAGTGGCTGATTTGTCCATGGGAAAAACTGCAAATCACTGACATAGGTACATAGCTTGAAAACAAAATGGGTTTGTGCTGGAAACAAGAGTCACCCCACTTCACTTTATTTATTGTTGTTATTTATTTGTTTGAGGGGTTGTTTGTTTGGTTTTAGGGGGTTTTAGTACATTTTGTACAAACCACCAATAAGATTTTCTGATTTTGGCATGAGAAGCAGATAGAAATCTAATGTAATTCTCAGGTAACATTCAATGGTGTTGTCCCATATACTAGGTCTGAATTTAGTCTTGTTGACTCTTTGGAGATGAAGCTCCAGGTTTATTATTCAAAAGTCATAAATTCTGGCTAAAAAAGTAATTTACTGTTTCATTCTGGAGCCACGTGTATCAATGGTCATCCTGTATATACCAAACTTTTTGGTTTTGCTGACATGTCTATCTGGATGTAGCACCTTGAGGTAAGAATTGGCACTTTGCCCTAGTTTTAAAATTATTTAAAACTGTGACCTGATGTGAATGCCTGAGGCCCCGTTCTCTTTGTGCTCTGTGCCTGGACCTGCTGAGGAGAGCACCATCAGCTAGAGTGTACTTTATTAAATGCATTTGAAATACACAATAATTGTGTTCTTTCCCTCTAATAACTGGCACCTACAGCAGATCACTTTGAGACAGGAGCTTTCTGTGGCTGAGCTGAAAACTATATAATATTTTTTTCCTGCCTTCCTTTCTTTCCCATCCCCATTTTTGTTTGCCTCAGCCTTTTCCTCTCCTGCACTGTTCTGCTGTGGCCATGACCTAGCAGTTTGTACTTAGATCTCCCCTGTTGACCTTTCGGGCAAAATACACTTCCTTCACTTCTTTTTGTTCTTTTCAGTGCTATGCTGAATCCTACGAATGACCTGCTGCTGTTTACCCTGAAGGTACCAGCACTTCAGTGCAGCTTTGCCTTGCA